ACAGGGAGAGAGAAAGGGAGGGAGGCATGGAGACGGAGGAGGAGAGGGAGAGAGGAAGAGAGAGAGAGAGAGAGAAAGGGAGGGGGGAGGGAGGGAGAAGGAGAGGGGGAGAGGGGGAGAGAGAGAGAGACAGACAGACAGGCAGACAGACACCTCGAGAAAGCAAGAGGCGGGGAAAGTACCACAACAGATTCGTCGAACTCGCACCTAGAGGACACTGTGGAAGTGCTCGTTGTAGAGGAAGTTGTCGCCCGGAGAGAGCTTGTGCTTCCACACCGGCGCCTTGTTGTTCTCCGATACCGCCTTGCATCCGCCACTATAGGCGCACGCATGGTACACTTGGACTACTCGCCGGATCGCCTCAGCCGGGAAAAACGAAAGCGTATCCCGAAGCCTCATCACCGGGTGTCCCGTAGCAGCATCCCTCATTGTGCTCTGTCCGACGGCCGCACTAACGTACTCTGCAACAGCCACCCACACTGTTGGCTCTCCGCGCGTGTCCTCCCCTTGCGGGGGGTTGCCGACGTGCTCGATGAAATACGCTACCTTCCCCAAGGTGCACGTGCCAGCCGGGCCTGGCCGCTGCGCGGCCAGGGCGTCCGGCGTGAAGAAAATTTCGACGTCCGTGCCGCATGGGTAAGGAGCAAACATCCATCGGCGGTTGTTCGGCTCTGCCATTTCCACCGGGCAACCTCGAACGGTTCCAGTCCCGCCCGACGCCCTCGCTGGAGCCCCCGTCCAGTTGTTGAAACACCGAGCCTCGGTATGCCTGAAGCCGTTCACACGGAACTTCCAGCACCGTATGCAGCGAAGGCCGCTGCAGCGTGCCTCCTCGCCGTGCGGCCTCCCACACGAGTACCACCGCCGGTAAAGGGCGTCCGGGTCGAACCCCTTCGATGCCTTGGCGATCGCTTCGATCCAGCGGATGTCGTTGTCGGGCGCGGCGGTGATGCTCTTCCCCTTGTTGGTGATGTCCATCTTCCACTCCACCGTGCGCCTCACTCTGCTCACGCCGTGCTTCCGGGAGACCTTCGAACTATCTAAGAGGGTACGCATAAGCTTCCGGCAGGCCGGGCTCGCTTTGATCCTCTCCGTCAGCCAGGTTCTCTGTTTCCTGCTGTACCTCCGGGCCGACCATTCCATGCCTTCCATCATGGCCGTCGCAGCCATGCGCGTGTTGAGCTCTCGCGCGATGAGCAACGTGTTGTCTGTACCTTTCGATGACTTTGCGAAGGACTTGAGAAGCTTGTGGAGCGCCTCTCCGGTGTTGACGTTGACCGTGTCACCTGTGGTCGCCGGGGCGGGCAGGGGTGCGGGTGGCGGGGGGGGGGCGGTCATCTGAGTCTGAACATGCCAAGTCACGATGGTCTCCTGAGAATGTGCTTGTGTTCTAGTCGTGCCACGACAGCACGCGTGCCGGTGCACTTCTTCTGCGTTATGGGCTTCTTGCCGCCTCCATACAAAGGATCCAAGACGCGCATGTTTCGTGCTGTGACACGCCGCCGCTGCCTTGCCCATTGCCCCCACCGTGCTGTTGTCCTGCCCTGCCTGTCTCTACCCTTGTATTATTCTAATTTAATGTATGCCTCCCGGCGTGTGCCTACCCTGCTGCGGGCCAGTAGTGAGCCTCTCGGCGCAGTTGGGGGGCGGGGGTGACCTCTTTCGGAACGTTGTTTATTTTATCGCCCTATCAGCGTTCCTAGATAGAAGTGCACCCTGCGGGGCGCGGCACGTTATGGTTGACGTGAGTGGATATCCTGCCATTGTTATTTCGGTGCTCCATCGGAGCCCTGACTCTGTGACCACCGGCAGTAGATACTAG